CACTGAGCCATCTCACCAGCCCTGGCCTTTAGGTCTTTTAGGTCTGGCTCACAGCAGGAGCATCCGTCCCTCCCACAGTTGCAAGATAACTTGTCTTTGGTGCTGTCTCCTTCAAGGGCCTTGCCCTGTCTGACTGCCTATTAATATTTCTATCTAATTTGGCTACCTATAACATCACTATAAGTCCAATCTAGTTGTGAGATCCTGACTACCCTGTAGACCCTTCCCTAAAATTCAAAAAAAAAAAAAAAAAAAAAGAAAGAAAGAAAGAAAAGAACAAGGAAAAGAGGACTTTACCAGGAGTACCCCTGCCTCAGCAGGGACTCCTGTCCATAATGGGTGAGTGTTGGACAAAGGACAGGGTCCAGCTTTTATACATTTGGTCAAGGAGGTGGGTTTTTCTAGTGGAGAGAAACTGGGGAGATGCAAGCAAGGATGGAGAAGCAAGACTTAAAAACAATAACTTAGGCTTGAAAGAAGACAGAGCCTTATGAGTCACATGAGAATAGAGTGTCATAAACTTTGTTTTTCAGGTCATAGTTGTCAATCTTACCTGTACCAGAACAGGGAGTTACAGTGATAGGAGAAGGAGTGGTCTGAGGGGAGCTGTTCAAGTGGAGGAGCTTCTTCCTTTCTTTGTTTCTCCTTTCTTTCTTTCCTTTTCTTTCTTTCTCTCTCTCTCTTTTTTTTTTTTTTGTGGAACCAGGGATTGAACTCAGACCCTTGTGCTTGCCAGGCAAGCACTTATTCTACTGAGCAATGTCCCCGGCCCCTTCTCTCGTTTTTTTGAGACAGGGTTTCACTATGCAGTTCAGGCTGGCTTTGAACTTACTTTGTACCCCAGGCTAGCCTTGAACTTGTAGCAATACTCCTGCCTAAGCCTCCCAAGGTCTGGAATTACAAGTGTGTGCCACTGTACATGGCCAAACTTGTTTTTCTTTAAACTCTTCTTCAAGATTACTGCTCTTCCAGGGCCGGGGAGATGGCTCAGTAGAATAAGCACTTGCCTGCCAAGCGCAAGGGCCTGAGTTCAATCCCTGGTTCGGGGGGGGGTTGGAAATTACTGCTCTTCCTAGGCCAGGCACACGTCTATAATCCCAGCACTCAGGAGGCAGAGGCAGGGGGATCGTTGTGAGTTCGAGGGCAGTTTGGCCTTCAAAGTTGGCTCAAGGCTAGCCTGAACCTCATAGTGAGACCCTGTCTTAAAAACAAAAACCAAGCTGTGCTATGGTAGATGCTAAGAAGGAAGCACAACAGGGTCAAAGGCTGGGGGTGGCAGAGCATGTCTATAATTCCAGCACTCGAGCATGGTGGTAGCTCAAGCACTAGGGAGGCTGAGGCAGGAGGATTACTAGGGCTTCAAGGCCAGCCTGAAGTACATAGAGATCCTGTCTCAAGACAAAACCTCTACAAAAAGAAATGAAATGAAATGAAAAAACAGAACAGGGTTGGACACAGAAGCTGCTTCGGCCCAGTGGCTGGGCTCTAGGTTTCTGGGGATATGGCCCATTGGGACCCCCTTGCTGGGAGTCTTCCCTCAGGCGCTTAAAGGGCTGCTCCCTGTAGTGCTGACTAGGGCACTGGCAGAGGTCTTGTCCCTTGAGCCTGTAGTGCTGGAGCGAGTCGGGCTTTCCCCTAGTGGCCTGTCTTGGTCACTGCAAGGGAGAGCGCAAGAGCTGGAATCTGACCCGGTCTACTCTCTGAATAAGAGAGCCAGCCAACCCTCCCAGCGCCAGGCTCCCCCAGGGCCACTCCCAACCTCCACACAGGTGCGTAGTAGAGCCAGTCCAGTCCTGGAAAGGTCCTTGAGGTTCTCGCCCTCTCCTCCCCAGTGTCTGCCTTCCTTGGCCTGGCACCCTGCCTAGCCCAGCTCACCGGGGGTGGCCAGTATTCCTCCTGCTCAGCCCTCTCTCCGTCCCTTCCCCTCTCCCAGGAAGAGAGGGAGTTCCAGCCCCAAGTAATTTTAGCGGGGTAGGGAGAGTTAGGGCACAGTGAAGGCTGAGCAGCTGTCTGTGCGCACAGGCATGTTCCTGCTTGCCCTTCCCAGCCTGCCTGTTGTGGCTGGCAGTCAGCAAGAGAGCAGCAAGGAACACCTGGCACGCAGGGCCTCCCGCTAGACTGCTGGGTACACAGTGTCAAGTGGCTTGCCTTGCCGGGAGGCAACCTGCTCTGCCCGCCCCCTTAGCAACTCCAGCTCCAGAAGCAGCACCCCACTTCCCAGAAGGATCACCAGGTAGAGCTTGGGCCAGCTCTGTCCATGGGTAACTGGAAGCCAAGCCCCGCAAGCCTAAGTGGTGGCGGGGTCCCCTGTTGGGGTGGGGGGCCTCCATGGAAGTCGGGGACCCCTGGACTGGAAGGGTCAGCAGCTTCTGGGGCGGGGCTGCAGGTGCCTGCTCTTCCTAGATGGAACCCAGCAGGCTGGAATCCAGTGCGCAAGACTTGGCCCAGGTTCAGCAGGAGCTGCGGTGGGTGGAGCTGGGCTCCGAGGACCCTGGATCCAGGGGAGAGAAGCCCAGTGCCCCCCAGGGCTGGGGCCGCCTGCTGCAGGCGGTGTGGAGCGGCTCCCCAGGTTTGGTGACGCAGCTGCTGCGGCAAGGCGCCAGCGTGGACGAGAGGTGACCCAGGTCTCCACTTTAGGCGGGGTGCCCGGGGCCTCCCTTCTGGGATGCTGGGGTCCTGTCCAGGTCCTGGGGCCGTGCACTCCCGCGACAGACGCCGTGCTCCCCTGCAGGGACGCCGCGGGCCGCACTCCGCTGCACCTGGCCGTGCTGCGCGGCCACGCGCCCCTCCTGCACTTGCTGCTGCGACGCGGGGC